TCGAAGGCGATCAGATACCGCCCTAGTTCTAACCATAAACGATGCCAGCTAGCGATCCGCCGAAGTTCCTCCGATGACTCGGCGGGCGGCTTCCGGGAAACCAAAGCTTTTGGGTTCCGGGGGAAGTATGGTTGCAAAACTGAAACTTAAAGGAATTGACGAAAGGTCACCACCACGAGTGGAGCCTGCGGCTTAATTTGACTCAACACGGGAAACCTCACCAGGCCCGGACACCGGAAGGATTGACAGATTGATAGCTCTTTCTTGATTCGGTGGGTGGTGGTGCATGGCCGTTCTTAGTTGGTGGAGCGATTTGTCTGGTTAATTCCGATAACGAACGAGACTCTAGCCTGCTAAATAGGCGTAATTCATGGTATCTCGAAGGCCCTCGACTTCGGTCGGGCGGTTTTTACTACCGACGTACAAACAAATCTTCTTAGAGGGACAGGCGGCTTCTAGCCGCACGAGATTGAGCAATAACAGGTCTGTGATGCCCTTAGATGTTCTGGGCCGCACGCGCGCTACACTGAAGGAATCAGCGTGTCTTCCCTGGTCGAAATTGTGATGCCCTTAGATGTTCTGGGCCGCACGCGCGCTACACTGAAGGAATCAGCGTGTCTTCCCTGGCCGAAAGGCCCGGGTAACCCGCTGAACCTCCTTCGTGCTAGGGATTGGGGCTTGCAATTATTCCCCATGAACGAGGAATTCCCAGTAAGCGCGAGTCATAAGCTCGCGTTGATTACGTCCCTGCCCTTTGTACACACCGCCCGTCGCTACTACCGATTGAATGATTTAGTGAGGTCTTCGGACTGGTGCGCGGCAATGTTTCGGCATTGCCGATGTTGCCGGGAAGATGACCAAACTTGATCATTTAGAGGAAGTCAAAGTCGTAACAAGGTGAACCTGCGGAAGGATCATTATCGCAAAGAGAATCTTATGCAGCGACTCGTTGTCCGAATAAACAGAGAAAAGGGACTATATAGAGAAAGAAGAAAGATTTAAAAATGTATCAGCGATCACGCACAATACGTCTTTGGGTAACCTTACTGCCACAGGCGCACCGCGAGAGAGAGCAGGCTCCCTTCGGACCCTCGGACTTCCTCGACCCCCGTCGCCCCGTTCACAGCGTGTTGCCGCCCTCTGGGCAAGGTGACACGCGTAACGCGTGTCCGTGACGTGCGTGGTTGGAAAGGTCAGTCCGTCGTCGTCCTTAGTTACGCCGCTCCCCGCAGAGTTGCGGTCCTTGGGCACATTCGAGCGCGGACGTGTACTCTCTCGCCGTTCACACAACTTATCTTGGGAAACGTTGCGAGCGCGGTTAATCGCGGATACTGAAGAGAACAGCAGAGACCGACCGGCACATCGCCGAGCAACCCCCGACTCGCCACGAAGAAAACTCTTCCATGCGAGAAGGCGCGAAGTTGTTACGTGCAGCGAGAAATGTTCGGTCGCTTGTCTCCGTTTCGCGTTCAACCGATCGCGCCGGCGGCGTTCCCTTTTTCCATGCTGAGTGTGTTACGCGTTGCGAGGACTCTCGTCAATCGAAAAGGTTTTTCAATGAACTTTCGCCCAATAAGACGATCGTATAAAGAAAAAGACACACCACGATACGCTCTGCCGTTGCGAATGACTCCCAGGAGAGACGCGACGGCCTGTGGCGGTGCGCCATATCCCCGTCTATGCCCGTTAAAGGGCGATGGCGGCGGTGGGCGCTCTCGCCCGGAAAACCCAACGTTGCAAGCGATCGGATCGATAATAATAATAATATTACGGGGAAACCCTTTGCGTACGTGTCACTCTCCATACGTAATAATACTACGTGTGGTTTTTGATACGTCGATCGTGCGTTTCTTATTCTGTGTTGTTGTTTCGCGTTGGGGTTTTCTTCGGGGTTCGCATAATTGAGGAGACCCGCCGCAGCCCGTAAAAAAAGGGAGGAGGGACGTGTGTGTTCTCTTCTTGCGTCGATATATAAAAGAAATATTGAAAATAAAAACGACGACCTCAGAGTAGGCGAGACTACCCGCTGAATTTAAGCATATTACTAAGCGGTGGAAAAGAAACTAGCCAGGATTTCCTTAGTAGCTGCGAGCGAACAGGAATGAGCCCAGCACTGAATCCCGCGGTTATTGCCGCTGGGAAATGTAGTGTTCGGGAGGATCCAACCATCCCGTGGCGTTGACTCGCGTCCAAGTCCATCTTGAATGGGGCCACTTACCCGTAGAGGGTGCCAGGCCCGTAGCGACCGAGACGCGCCGCGGGAGGATCTCTCCCCAGAGTCGGGTTGCTTGAGAGTGCAGCTCTAAGTGGGTGGTAAACTCCATCTAAGGCTAAATATGACCACGAGACCGATAGCGAACAAGTACCGTGAGGGAAAGTTGAAAAGAACTTTGAAGAGAGAGTTCAAGAGTACGTGAAACCGTTCTGGGGTAAACCTGAGAAACCCGAAAGGTCGTAAGGGGAGATTCATCGTCGGCGAAGCTAGCCTCACGGCTGTTCGTGATATCCGCGCGCGATTTCGGTCGCGCGCGCGGCACGCGTCTGTCATGTTAACGTCCGGCGGCACCGGCGTGCACTTCTCCCCTAGTAGGACGTCGCGACCCGTTGGGTGTCGGTCTACGGCCCGGGTGGTAGTCTATGCGCGAGGTACCGCGTCGCGCGGTACGTGATTGCGCGAGACCCTGGGAGGCCCGACCGGCTGCGCGGCGGTGTAACACGAAAAACGGTATCGGGCTGCACGCAATTTTTTGCGCGTCGGACCCGCCGCAAGCGAATGTCAGTGTTTCCCGTTGTGGCGGACTAAGCCCCGTTCTCGGGCCTGACCAGCTGTTGGCAGGCGGTGCTCCCCGACAGGCTCTTTACCGGTCGGCGATGCTAATGCTTTGGGTACTTTCAGGACCCGTCTTGAAACACGGACCAAGGAGTCTAACATGTGCGCGAGTCATTGGGACTATGTGGAAGCCTAAAGGCGCAATGAAAGTGAAGGTCGGCCTTGCGCCGACCGAGGGAGGATGGGCCGCGTCACGATGCGGCTCCGCACTCCCGGGGCGTCTCGTTCTCATTGCGAGAGGAGGCGCACCCAGAGCGTACACGTTGGGACCCGAAAGATGGTGAACTATGCCTGGTCAGGACGAAGTCAGGGGAAACCCTGATGGAGGTCCGTAGCGATTCTGACGTGCAAATCGATCGTCGGAACTGGGTATAGGGGCGAAAGACTAATCGAACCATCTAGTAGCTAGTTCCCTCCGAAGTTTCCCTCAGGATGGCTGGCACTCGTACGTTCTTATGAACTGAAGCGAGTGTCATCTGGTAAAGCGAATGATTAGAAGCCTTGCGGCCGAAACGACCTCAACCTATTCTCAAACTTTAAATGGGTGAGATCTCTGGCTTGCTTGAACGGATAGCTGGCACTCGTACTTTCTTATGAACTGAAGCGAGTCTCATCTGGTAAAGCGAATGATTAGAGGCCTTGGGGCCGAAACGACCTCAACCTATTCTCAAACTTTAAATGGGTGAGATCTCTGGCTTGCTTGAACGAAAAATTTAAAAATTGAAGCCACGAGATATTATTGAAATACGGATCAGAGTGCCAAGTGGGCCACTTTTGGTAAGCAGAACTGGCGCTGTGGGATGAACCAAACGCCGAGTTAAGGCGCCGAAGTCGACGCTTATGGGATACCATGAAAGGCGTTGGTTGCTTAAGACAGCAGGACGGTGGCCATGGAAGTCGGAATCCGCTAAGGAGTGTGTAACAACTCACCTGCCGAAGCAACTAGCCCTGAAAATGGATGGCGCTGAAGCGTCGCGCCTATACTCGGCCGTCAGTGGCAATGGCGACGCTCGGGCGCGTCCTCGGACACGTGCGGACGTCGCGCGAAGCCCTGACGAGTAGGAGGGTCGCGGCGGTGTGCGCAGAAGGGTCTGGGCGTGAGCCTGCCTGGAGCCGCCGTCGGTGCAGATCTTGGTGGTAGTAGCAAATACTCCAGCGAGGCCCTGGAGGACTGACGTGGGGAAGGGTTTCGTGTGAACAGCCGTTGCACACGAGTCAGTCGATCCTAAGCCCTAGGAGAAATCCGATGTCGATAAAGGTGCGTTAAACATGAAAGATATACACAATATATAAAAAATAACCACCAGTCGGGCGAAAGGGAATCCGGTTCCTATTCCGGAACCCGGCAGCGGAACCGCATACAATTCGGGCCCTCGCAAGAGAGTTCGTCGGGGTAACCCAAAAGGACCTGGAGACGCCGTCGGGAGATCCGGGAAGAGTTTTCTTTTCTGTATAAGCGTTCGAGTTCCCTGGAAACCTCTAGCAGGGAGATAGGGTTTGGAACTCGAAGAGCACCGCAGTTGCGGCGGTGTCCGGATCTTCCCCTCGGACCTTGAAAATCCAGGAGAGGGCCACCTGGACGTGTCGCGCCGGTTCGTACCCATATCCGCAGCAGGTCTCCAAGGTGAAGAGCCTCTAGTCGATAGACTAGTGTAGGTAAGGGAAGTCGGCAAATTGGATCCGTAACTTCGGAATAAGGATTGGCTCTGAGGAGCGGGGCGTGTCGGGCTTGGTCGGGAAGCGGGTCTGGCTGACGTGCCGGGCCTGGGCGAGGTGAAACGCGCGTTCGGAAACGTACGCGTGCTGGATCCGAGCTCGGTCCCGTGCCTTGGCCTCCCGCGGATCTTCCTTGCTGCGAGGCTTCCGTGGCGGTTTAAACCCCGTTGCGGTCGTCCTCTTCGGCCGCCATTCAACGGTCAGCTCAGAACTGGCACGGACTGGGGGAATCCGACTGTCTAATTAAAACAAAGCATTGCGATGGCCCTCGCGGGTGTTGACGCAATGTGATTTCTGCCCAGTGCTCTGAATGTCAACGTGAAGAAATTCAAGCAAGCGCGGGTAAACGGCGGGAGTAACTATGACTCTCTTAAGGCTCGTGCTACTATGACTCTCTTGGCTTCGTGCCGTACTGCGATTTTATTTTGTGTTCAATAAATTGATATATGCAATAAAACCGAGTTCATGCGATTATAAAAAGAGAACATTTATTCCACAGACATTTCTGTCCTTGAAAGAAAAATCTATCGGACACACGCAGCGCGACGGGTCCTGCCTCCACGGGGCGAAGCTGGTAACCGGTGGACTACCACTGGGCTAAAAGGACCAAATTACGATTGGGAGCATTACATCCGCCACCCACTCATTTTTGGTGTAAACACCCAACACCAAACTTTTTATATTCTAAGTAGTTTGTCTTTTAATGCATGCTTTTACCTATATACCACCTAGTCTTAATTTAATATCATAGTTATAATTATTACAATCTCTTTTACTATATATACTCAATTAATAGATACATAATATATACATAATAACTTAATTATATTTACAAAGGCTGAACCTATATATAACTAGAGGATTAAGACTAACTCTATAACCTATAACATTCTCATAATAATATTTACAACTCTATTTACAAGCCAATTTTAGATTAACATACAATAACATTCTCACAGTAATATTTACAATTCTGTCTACATGCCGGTTCTAAATTACAATTTTTAATACAGCTGTCTTTAGACCGGATATATACAATTATAAATAATAACGTAATAAATATTTACAAAGGCCGAACTCACTCACATATAACTAGAGAAATACGACCTACCCTTTGTACACAATATCCTTACAGCAATATTTACAATCCTATTTACAAGTCAATTTTAAACAACTGCTACTAGTAGTTATCTCTGCTATCTCTGATTCAGATATATACAACACTTAACAATAACCATTAAATATTTACAAAACTTGACCCTATACAATAAAAAAATAAAAAAAATCTTACTTTTAAAAGGCGTTACTTTATCACCTTGTTTAGTAC